ATATATATATATATATATATATATATATATATATATATATATATATATATATATATATATATATATATATATATATTGTAAGAATAAAAATCTATGAATTGTGATGAAAATGTATTGTACGCGTGCATATATGATGACAAGTGGTGTAAGAGTACATGTGTTTTCGATGACATACGGTGTGAGAGTGCACAGATATATTACGATGTGCAATGCATGTATATACTATGATGTGCAGTATGAGAGTATACGTATGTTTTATAATATGCGATATGGGAGTGTATGTATATATTGTGATGTCCGATATGTGAGTGTACGTATATATTATAACATGTAGTATGGGAGTGTACCTATATATTATGACATGTGTAGGATTGCACATATATATTATGATGATGTACAGTGTGGGAGTGCACGTATATCTTATGATATGGGGCGTGAAAGTCAATGAATTTAATCTGTTTCCTACATGTGCATATAAGCTTTAATTATTTCAACGTAGAATTTTATCTTTTTATTTTGTATATGATATATAATAGGATTATGCTTACTAATAAAATCATAGGATAAGGTGTTTATTGTTAATTATCTTATGACAATGATTTTAAAATATGATATACATGATATGATCCATGCTCACCTGAATAAAGTTATAAAAATTTATACTTATTGAGTGACTACTCACTATATACCATATTTTACAAGTAAGGATACTAATAACCCACCTGATTAAGTAGGGAAGCGAGCACGTGCAAGTCTATACCAGCGCAGATATGGATAATGACCTGTGAGCATTTTATGTATATAAATTTTCGACATGTTATGTTTGTGTTTTCTTTTAGTTAGATGTTGTAATTATGTATAGGTGTCAAAAATACTATGTATATAAGAAAACTTAATCAATTTTATTTAGTAAGTTAGCATGTTTTAATTTTAAAATTATCTAATTTTTACTATATTTCTATCAATAACAGTAATGAAAATTGAAATATGATATTCTATTTTAATAATGCATATAGAGTGAGTGGAACTAAAAGAAGGTCATGAGTCTTATAGATTCTATATTTGCAAATTGCATGGGATGTCCTACTTAAATATCTTGTAAGTTTTAATAATTAAGTTATAATGATTTTTTAGTATTATTTGATGCTCTTATACTTGGCAACTAGGGTGTGAATAGCTTGGGATTAATTAGGAAGATATCATATGAACCAAAGGGCAAGCTAATAGTTTCAGTAATGTTCAGAAGGAGATTCCTAATGATAGAGAGGCATTCATACAAGGAGATCAAAGATATATTGTGATTAATAAGCTAATAGAGTTGGTGGAGAGACAATCTATAGATGATTGAAGCAATTATTGGCCTGAGGACAACAGGCGGTGCTAGTAGTAACTTGAGGATATGATGTTGTAGAATTAGTAAGTGAGCGATTTAGAAAGAATGATCTACGAATCTTAGAATGTGATGCAGATCCATTGATGACTAAGGAATGGATAAAAAACATTGAGAGAATATTTAAGTATGTAAGAATTTCAAATGAATATAAAGTTATTTGTGTAGCTTATATGCTACAAAAATATGTCCATCACTAGTGGGATGCAAAAAGGGGGACTATAGATGCTAAACGAATAACGTGAGAAAGATTCAAAGAAATTTTTTACCAAAAGTATTTCAGTACAATCTATTGATTAGCCAAAATAGTAAAATTTGTTAACATCAAACAAGAAGGCCAATTGGTGATGGATTACATCAGAAAGTAGTTTGAGGAGTCATCTCGATTTACACCTCACATGCTTAGCACTAATGCTTTGAGGGTTGATCAATTTCTATAAGGACTCAAGAGCAAAAATTTATTAGGATATGAAGATAACAATGAATGCCCTAGATATTCTCTTTTCCTTGGTAGTGAAAAAGGCCTCGGAGGTAGAGGAGGCCAAACAAT